AATCAGTGGAAACCCTGTCCTAATTGGCATCTTTCTTTCATCTTTAGCCCTTTTTTTTTTTTTTGTATTGAGGATCAAGTTCAGGGATGCTGTTCCACTGGGCTACATTCCTAGCCCTTTTTTTTTTTTTTTTGGTACCAGCGACCAAACTCATGACCTTGTACTTGTGAGCCAGGTGCGGTGCCACTGAGCTAAATCCCCGGCCCCCTAGCCCCCTTTTTAAATTTTTGAGACAGGGTCTCACTAAGTTGCCCAGGCACAACTCAAACTTGCAGCCCTTCTGCTTCAGCCTTTCCACAGTGCTGGGATTATAGGGAGCACCACCTTGCCCTGCTCTGTCCTTTATCTTCTCTCACCTGGGCTGTGGCAGTGGCCTCCTCTCTGTTCTCCCTGCTTCCCCACCCACCCCTCTCCAGCCCAGTCTACTCCCAACATTCCAGCCACAGGGGTCTGTTAACACCTGTCACACCAGGCTCCTCCAACTCAGCAGAAGCTGCTTTCTACACTGCACTCCAGGGAAAAGCCAGCGCTCTCAGCCATGGCCCACAAGGCTCTTCATGAACTTGTCCCTGCCACCTCTCCTCTGACTTTTCCTTCCATTCATTCTGGCCATGCTGGCCTCCCTCTTCCTTAACCCAGGGCCTTTGCACTAGCTGTTCCTTCTGCCTGGAAGGTTCTTCCTCCAGACATCTGCATGGTTCCCTTTCTCCCCTTTTTTCAGTGACACCTTCCCTGCTCTCCATATCTAAAGTTGAACCCTACCCCACTCCACTTTTCTTCAGAGCAATGCCACCCTCCTTGCTCTGATGCTCTAGATCAGTGGTGGTGAATCTATAGCACACCCTCTGTTGGCACACAAACCAAGTCTTCCCAGCAGTGAGCATTCAGGTTTAATTGCAGTGTTGGCACTGTGTGATAAATGAGCGGGTTCTGAGTTGCAGTTTGGGCACTCGGTCTCTAGAAGGTTCACCATCTCTTCCCTAGATGGTAGGGCCACTACAGCACTGTTCTTGGAGCACTGGCCATGCTCCCTCTACACCAGCCCCTCATCATCCAGGTTTCTGCTCAAATGCTGCCTCCTTAGACAGCCCTCTCCCTTTCCTCCTCTCAATCATATTTTTATTCAGTCTTTATAACACTTATCAAAGGCTAAAGCTATGTGGTTTATTGGTTTACTAGTTCACCTTTAACTCAAGCAGGATGTGAGTACCACGAGGGCAGGGATGGTTGTTGCTGTTCCACTGCTGTGTCCTCAACTCAGCGGCATGCTTGGCACTGGGTGCCTGGGCTCGTCAGAACCAGGTACAGCACTCCCCAGACACAAGACCCTTGTTCTTCTCTGAGGGGGCTTTCCTGACTGCAAAGATCTGAGGTGCAGATGGCAGGGGCCAGGTAGGTAGGGAGATGAGGGCCAGTGGGGGATTCGGGCCCAGGTCAGTCATGAAGTTAGGGGGACCACTAGGAGTGGGGAGTGGGACCCAGGCACTTGGGAGTGGCACTGGTTCTCGCCAGGCAGTGAGGCTGGAAAATGCCCAAGTTTGAAGCCTCTCTTCTTCTATCTTCTGTCCCTTGACATTGTCCACTTGGTCTCTATCCAATGGGTGCCCCGGTTTCCAGGAGCTCAGGCTTGACATCCGGTGTGGCAGGGGCAGGCCCCTGGGCAAGGACCACAGCAATGTCAGACCCTCCGAAGATGATGGTGAAAGTTCGGGATTCTTCAGGTCTGGGCAGCTGGGCCATCCCAGGAATGAAGTGGTAGAGATGGGGAACACACAGGAGTGGGGAGAGACAGAGGGACAAACAGAAATGATGGCAATCGGGAAAGCCAGGGAGGGAAGGGAGTGCCAGGAAACAGAGCAAAATGTGGGTGAAGAGTTACAGGGAGACAGAAGCAGATATGAGGCCAGAGGCAGTCATGGGAGAGGACAGAATTAGTACAAAGAAATGGGGAGAAAGGTGGGGGGAACACATGGGGAAGAGATTGGGGGCAGACATGGAGAGACAGAGACACTGTCAGCCCAAGGGAGAGCCAAGGCCTGAGCTGGATCTCTGTCCCAGCCCTACTGTCCTTCAGGGTCCCAGAGCACAGTTTCAAAATCCCCAGAAACAACTCACTGCAACTCCAGCTGACTTAACTTCTCTACGAATACAAACGCAGTGCTGTTAGATCTACTGAGCCTTCAGCAAAGACCAGACATTACTTTAAAGCACTGTTGAGGACAAACAAATCCCACTTGTGAGTCATGGCTAATCCACTGGCTGTCAATTTGTGACACCTTAGTACAGAGATACCATGGGGGCACCTTTCTGAACCCCCACCCATGAGTCCAGCGTCCATAGCTCGGGCTCTACCTTGGGAGTTTAAGTGTGGGAAAGGCTTAATCTTTTATTTTCACCCCTACACACACACACACACACACACACATACGCACATGCACACGCACACGGCAGTAAAAAATGTAAGGGCCACAGAGCTTTCAATAGAGCCTGGGAGCCACCAGCAGAGGGACTGCAAACTCAAGCTGTACAGGGGCTGGCAGGAAGCTCCCCTCCTCTGGGACAGGATGTCTGGCTCTGTGCTGTTTACTGGCTCCTTGACTTTGGGCAAGTTACTGGGCTGCTCTGAGCCTGTTTTTCATGTGGAAAATGGGGACAACAGCAGTATCAAGATTAAGTGTGTTTTCAATTATTATTAACTATGTGTCTGGCGCAAAGAGCTCCCTAAATATTATTATGCATAAATGGAGCAGGTCTTACTCGGTTCTGGCCAGTGGTTGCTTGGCACTGGCAGAGTGACTTTTTTTTTCCCTTTCCAGTACCTGGGATGGAACCCAGGGCCTGGTGCATGCTAAGCATGTGCTGTGCCACCAAGCAACATCCTCAGTCCCAGATCCATTTCCCCCCAGAAATACTAGCAGTTTGGAAACCTGGTGAAATGTTGGAATTTGTAAATATTGGGCCTGTTTAAAAGAAGACACTGTGCGGGGTGGGCCGGTCCCAAGCCCCGGGCCACACTCACCACATGCAACGGCACCCGGGCCCAGACCCGCAGGTTCTCCCTGCACAGCTGTTGCGCCAGTTGTTCCAGAGCCCGCAGCTGTGCCTGGTGCCTCTCCTGCCGCAGCTGCAGCCTATGCACACGGCGCTGCAGGGCTTCGAGTGCCGCGCCCAGCCCGGTCCTCGGGTACTGGGAGGCAACTCCGGGCCGCGGCCCCACTGTGGCAGGCGAAAGGGGAAACGGAGTCAAGCACAGGGTGGCCGCGGCTGAAGAGTCCCGGGAGGTGGGCCCCAACACCACTAGGTGCACTGGGCCAGAGGCGGCGGCGGCGGGTTCCCCGGGAGCGGGCACAGCCTCCTGTGTGGGAGGAAGGGGCGATGCGACCGGCTTCTCGGCGCTTCGGGGCCTCCCCAGGCTCTGAAAGACATCAGGTGGGGATCATCAGGGACGAACTCCAAGGGATATTATTTCCGCAGGAACTAAGCGCTGGAGTCAGTCTCTTGGGGGATTTCCCTCAGGTAAGGCCAGAGTTTAGGTAAAAACTTCCCTCTGGAAGAAACAGCTGAGGGGCAGACTCCAAGAGGGACTTCCCAGCTTGGGGTGGTGGTGCACACCTTTGATCCCAAAACCCTAGGAGGCTGAGGCAGGAAGATTGCAAATTCGAGAGAGTCCCACCTAGGCAATTCAGTGACTTAGTGAGAGTCTGTAACCAATCAATCAATCCAAAGGCCTGGGACTGTAGCTCAGTGTAAAGGCCCTGAATTCAGTCCCCAATACCAAGAAAAAGAAAAAAAAAATAGACTACCCTTAGGGGAGAGGAGCTGGGGACCAGAATCCACGAGTCATTTGTCATTTCCCGAGTGGGAAAGGCTGGAAGTTGGACCTTCCACGCTCACCTGAGCCGGCGGCGGCGCCGGGGAGAAGATGGAGGGCACCGCATCGGGCCGCAGGTAGCGCACGCCCCAGCGCCACTGGAAGCAGGAGGGTGTGAAGTGCTCGCTGCATAAATGCTGGTGGCAGCTGGGCACCCAGTGCTCACAACCCATGTGCCGGAGCCAGGACTGCAACCGTGAACCATCCTTCAGGGGGAACCTGCAAGGTACCAGGGCTGCCAGGTCAGTGTCCCCTCCAATGTTCCTGAGGCAACCTACACCTGAGGCTCCTGGTCTCCGAGCCTAGGCCTCTTCTAGGCCAGTAATTGGCCTTACCCCTCCTGGCCCTGGGCTTTCTCCACCTCACAAATCCCATTCTTGGGCTCCACCTTCTAAGCAGCTGACACCCACCCCTCTCCCAGCTCTGCTGCCTTTCTTATCCAGCCTCCTCTTTCCCACTAGGCTCTGGCCTCCTTTCTGGTCCTGCTGCGCACTGCCACTCTCCACCCCTCAGTTTGTTCCTGCACGTGAACCCAAAGGAGCTCTCTATACGATCAGCTGTCTAGAATGTGAGACATCCTGCAGTCAGGTTGAAAAGTGTTTTCCACAACCTGTAACTGGGGTGAGAGTGAGGGTTATACATTTGAGATTTCAGAAACATCAATTCAAAGGCAGGATGGAGCCCAAGGGTGATGTGGACCTTGTTTGCAACAAACCATTCAATAAAAAGCCATTTTAGGGGCCGGGGATTTAGCTCAGTGGGTTCACTGCCTGCTGCGCAAGTGCAAGGATCCAAGTTCGATCCCCGGTAACAAAAAAACCCAAAAAAAACCCACAAAAAACTAAAAAAAATAAAAAGCCATTTTAAAGTTAGCCATGGCGATGCACACCTGTAATCCTAGCAGTATGGGAGGCTGAGGCAGGAAGACTGCAAGTTCAGGTCCCACCTGGACAACATAGGAAACCCTGTTTCTAAATAAATAGTAAAAAGGGATGAGAATGCAGCCCAGTGCAGACTTTGGGTTCACTCTCTAGTACCCTCCCCGCAAAAAGCTATTTTAAGATAATTGGAGAAAATTGAACATAAATTGGGTATTAGTTATAAGAAGTTTAATTGTGCTAGGTGTGATTATTACACAGTTTGTCCTTCTAAAATAGTCTTTTGCTAGAAAACATTCTGAAATATTTATGAATAAAAGAACTGATACCTGATATTTACTTCAAAATATGTGAGCCAGCGCTTCAGAGGCTGAGGTAGGAGGACTAAGTTCAGCCCAGACTGCACAAGTTAGCCACTTAACAAGTCCCTGTCTCAGAATAAAAAATAAAAAAGGGCCAGGGATGTAGTTTAGTGGGTCGGCCCTGGGTTCAACTCTCAGTACTGAAAAAAGAATGGAAGAAAAAAATTAGATAAAAAGAAAAAGGGCAAAAGACTTGAGCAGATATTTCACTGAAGAAGATACACAAATGGCCGAAAGGATATGAAGAGATGCTCAGTGTCACTAAGCATTAGGGAACTGTAAAACCAAACCATGGTGAAGTAATTCCAACCATTAGAATGGCTACTAGAGAGGGAAAAAAAAGAAAATAACAAGTGTTTGTAAGGAAGTGGAGAAATTGGGAAACTGGAACCTTGTGCAACAATATTGCAGCTCCTCAAAAATTAAAAATAGGATTACTATATGATCCAGCAATTCCACTTCTGTATACACACCTGGAAAAAAAGAAAGCAGGGGCTTGCACACCCATGTTCACAGCAGCTTAATTCATAACAGCCAAAAGGTGGAAATGTCAATTGACAGCTACTTATGGCTTATATATACAATGGAATATTTAAATATTTAGTCTTTAAAAGGAAAGAAATTTTGCTGGGAATGGTGGTACATACCCCTAGTCCTAGCATTCCTGGAAACTGAGGTGGGAGGATCACAAGTTTAAACTCACCTGGGCAACACAGTGGCTTAACCAAACCCCGACTGAAAATTAAAAATCAAAAGGCCTGGGGATACAGCTTAATGTGAAGGCCTTAGGTTTCATCTTCAGTACAAAAAGAGAGAGAGAAAGAGAGAGAAAAGAAAGAAAATCAAAGCAAAGAAAAGCAACAAACAAGCAGGCTGGCTCCTGGTCTATCCATTGGTGGTATTGCAAAAGAAACTGTGAGAGAGGCGGAATAACACCGCCTGAGGACAGGCAGCCTTACAAAAAGAAGGCCCCTAAACTGAAGGGAAAATGTGAAAAGGATACTGCTACTGCATCCTGAGCTCAGGGAAAGCCTGATGTGGGAGGTCATCAAGGCCTATATGATAAAGAAGACGACAAGGAAGATGAAAAGGAGGAGGGAAAAGATGATGGAGACGTTGATGAAAGAGTTCATTCTAGCAGTTTTTCTTGTCTATATAGTATTTAACCCCATCACCACCACTGTACACAACTCACTCCTTTAAAAGAAAAAATTGAAATGTAAGGCTGTGTAGGGTTTGTTTTAAACTGTACAGGTTTTGGGGGTTTGGTTTTGTTTGTATAGTTAACACACTACCAAATGTGCCTTTAGAAAGCCCTGTCCTGAAGGTATTCTCAGTAGTCACTAACTTTGCCTAGTAGAGTACAAGGGTCGTAGACTGACATGGAAATTTACTGTAGTTCTTGGTGCACAGCACAAATTAGTTATATGTGGGGATGGTAGTGTTTTGGTTTTTTTTACCTTCACTTCTCTCTGATGCAGAGTATACAATATTATTGACCTGTTAAGTATCACTCTGTAATTGCCAAAAAAATAGTTACAGCTGTTCTGTTAACATTCTGAATGCTTCTAAGTAAATACAGTTTTTAATTAAAAAGGAATTTTTAAAAAATGAACTGGAAGACTGGGAGTGTATGTAGGTCAGTGGTAGTGCACTTGCCTAGCAATGCCAGGCCCTAGGCTCCATCCCCAGTGCCACATACACACACACAAACATATACACAGACTCATATGCATGCACACAAAGCTGGGTATGGTAGCACATGCCTGTAATCCCAGCACTCTGGGAGGCTAAGGCAGTAGGATCACAATTTTAAACCCAGCTTGGGCAACTTAGGAAGGCTTTGTCTTAAAATAAAAAAGGGCTGGTGATATAGCTCAGTGAGAAGGGCCTGGGTTCATTCTCCAGTGCTGAAAATAAATAAATGTGCTCCACTGTTCCTGTTTCCTGGTGCCACTTGTCCCTAACATTTGTTCTTGCCCTCTTAGATAGTAATACATTCTCCATTTAGACCTGGGCTTGAGGCTACCCAGAATAAAGTCCTCCTTTTGCGCCTCATTTGTAGTTGCCAGTGGCCACATGACTACGTTCTGCCTAATTTGTCCAGTAGCACCTGGTAGAAACTGAGACATTAAATGTTTATCTGAAGATACTGAATCTGGGGACAGTTTGTTTTGTGGCATTAGATATACCCAATCATACACATGGACCTTTATAATGATTTCCATACCTATGACATCATTTAATAGTTTCCATAAAATTAACCAACCTTTAACTATTAAAAAATACCAAAAAAGAGAAACTTTATGCCACAATTGGAAATAGAAAACCAGTATCAATAACATAAATGAAGTTAGCCATAAAAACATCAGAAACCAGCCTGGTGTGATGCCACACAACTTTTTTTTTTTGGGGTACGGGGATTGAACTCAGGCCTTTGCACTTGTGAGGCAGGTGGCAGAACCACTGAGCTAAAGCCCCAGTCCTCGCACACCTTTAATCCAAACACTCTGGGAGGCTGAGGCAGGGGGACTGCAAGTTCAAGTCAGCTTGGGCAACTCTGCAACTTAGCAAGATGCTGTCTCAAAATAAAAAATAGGCCAGGCATGATGGTGGCATTCAGGAGGCTGAGGCAGGAGGATCACCGTCAGTTTGAGGCCAGCCTGAACTATATAGCAAGACCCTGTCTCAAAAATATAAAAAATAGGCTAGGATAGAGTTTAGTGCAAAGGACCCAGGTTAATCCCCAGTACTGCAAAAATAATAAATAATAAACTCTTTAAAAAAAAGTACTCAGAGAGGGCTGGGGATTTAGCTCAGTGATGCCATGCCTGCTTTGCAAGCATTCCATTCCCAGTACCGTAAAAATTAAAAATTAAAAAAGTGGGCTGGGGATTTAGCTCAGTGGTTCCGGTTCAATTCCCGGTACCAAAATAAATAAATAAATAAAAAGTTTAAAAGTGCTAGAGGTATAGCTCAATATGAAGACCTTGGGGTGAGGGGGTGAAAGGGAGGAGGGAGAGAGAAAGAGAAAGGGTGGGATGACAAAGAAAGAAAACCACGGAAAGGATACACAGAGGCAGTAGAAGGCAGGAAAGGAGATGGAATTAAGATTTCTCAGAGAAAAGGCAGAGAGGGCAGGCAGCAGAGAAGGGCTGACTCAGAGAAGAACTATGGCATACAAAGGGCAGAAGCCCAGGCACACAGCCAGGGAGTATGGATGTCGCAGTCCCTCCAGCCTCTATGTCTGGGATCCAAATGTTCTTGCCACCCCATTCTTCTGGACACAAGCGACTCATTCCAGCAGCAGTCCCCATCCCAGGGCCTCCCTAGTAGAGATGGCCAACTCCCTACTCCAATACTTTCTTCTTGTTCCTCACCAACAAAACCCAACTTTGAGGCCACACTGTATCCTGCACTAAAAGATGGTATTTCCCAGGCTCCTCTGTGACTAGGTGGGGGCATGTGACTAAGTTCTGGCCAATGAATGCTTCCAAGTTGTTCGGGAGCATCTGGGATGGTGCCTTAAATGGGAAGAGTGCTCAAATGAAATCACAGCAGCTCAGAGGGTAAAAAAAGGAAAGTGACTCTTAAGAAACCTCTCTTTAATTTGTTCTTGTTCTTTTCTTCTGTTCCTCTGGATGGCAGCATTTATAATGTTCAATATCCCTAAGAATCTACCTTAAGTGGACAGCACATGTTTTTATGAACTATGTTAGTCTTGGTGATCATCTCAACTAGAGCACGGAGTGGCATTCACTGGCAGAGTTTGTCTTTTTCCCTTACCAACATAATTCCAGATTGATTCAGGGCGGTTAAATGTACAGCTAAAAGACCATGTTTCCCAGCTTCTTTTGCTATTAGGGATGACCAGTGGTGAAGATGCTACTATTGGATGGGGTTTCTGGGAAGGCCTTGTAGAGGAGGTGGACTCAGTTTAGAGTTGACACCTTTTTTGCTCTCCCTCCCTTCCCTTTTCTTCCCTCCAGGAATGTAGCACATGGTGGGCAGGTCACTGGTAGCCATCCCAGATGGAAGCACATGATCAGGATGACAAAGCAGAAAGAGTAAACCCTCATCTCTGATGACTGTGGAGGTGCCATACCAGTCGGTGCTGGTCTGCCAACCTCTGTACTTGTCTTATACAAGAGAAACATAAACCCTGTGGTCAGCTGTATTGTTCAAAATGTTTACTCTCCCCTATGAAGATCACACATTTCCACTCTATGGATGGTAGGCTTGCCATGTATCTGCTTTGGCCAAAAGAATGCAAGTGAAAGTGACATGGGTCGCTTCTAAATATAAAATTTACCAACAGTCACTGATTAAGCAGTTCTCTACATTCCCCTCTTCTTCCTCCCCCCACAAGACCAGCAATATTCCAAGTAGGGAATAACTCCTTCAGCCTGAGTCCCCAATTAAAATATTATAGAGCTGGTCTACAAATGATCTGTAAAAGACATAGTATGAGCAAAGAATAAACCTTTGTGGCACTCCGGAAGGCTGAGGCAGGATGACTGCAAGTTCGAGCCAAGTTTGGGCAGTGTAGGGAGACTCTATCTCAAAATAAAAAGGAAGGAGGCATGTTTTTTGGTGTTAAAGCCTTGGGTTCAATCCCTAGTACTACAAAACAACAATAACAACAAACCACAAGCAAACAAAAACCCAAAACTTTTAATGTAGTAAGCCACTGAGATTTGGGGAGTTTGTTCTTGCAGCATGACTTAACCGTACTTAACCATGCTGATTCCTATGGACTTGAAAATTTGTTTAAGTCTTTATTATTCCAGGATGTTGTGACTGCCAGGCAGTTGTAGTTCCTAACTGATAGGCGCCCCCTTATTAGAGATGACTATCACTCGTTCCTGAAAGGGCCTAAAATAGAGCTAATGAATGTTCCCACTGGCTGCCAGGCAGGCTCTCAAGTTATTTCCTGGCAGCCACTTCCCTCCAAATATTTCACCTTGTTTCCCACCTGGCACCCATGCCCTCTCCTGAATCTCTTTTGGAAACACTCCTTCTCGTACTAAGTGGCTAAACTAAGTGGCTTTGCAAGACTGACATAGAGTGGGCCAGATGTGTGTGAGAAACAGCCTGATAGCCATGGGGTGACCAGTGAAGTCATGAACTGTTTGTTTTGTGGTACTTGGAATTAAACCCAGGGCCTCACACATGCCAGGCAAGTGCTCTACCACTGAGCTACATCTGCAGTCTGATTTTTTTAAGTTCCTGATTTTCATAAAGTTATATGGGTTACACAGAGTGTTCTTTATTTCTTCCTTGTACTGAGAATTGAAACCAGAGCCTTCCAATGGAGCTACATTACCAGTCCTTTTTCAAAACCTTTTTATTTTTTAGACTATGTATTGAAGTTGCACAAATTGGACTTGAACTTGCAATCCTCCTGCCTCAGCCTCTTTGAATGCCAGGATTACAAGCACGTGCTACCATACCCAGCTCTACATAATGAGTTTAAAGCCAGCATGAACTGTACAGCAAAATCCTGTGTCAAAACAACAGGGAGTGAGAGCGAGCAAAAGATACATACAGATCCACAGACTGGAGAAAGAATGTGTCCTGGGCCCGTTAAGCTAAGATTAACAAGGAAAGGGGCCAGGAATTTAGCTCAGTGGTCCCACCACCTGCCTTTTTCAAAAGCTCAAGGTCCTGAGTTAGATACCCGGTACCAAAAAAAAGATTAACAAGGAAAAATCTGTAGTCCAAGAAAGTCAGGTTTATTTACCGTAGTGATGTGAACACCAGCGGTACCCTGGGGGGTCTCACTAAACAAAGAAACAAAGTTTTTGGGTTTGGGGTAAGAGTGAAATTTAGGTGAAATCAAAGTAAAGCAGTGTTTACATAAGCTCAAAGTAAATCAAAACAGTATGTAAAGGGATAATATTAGGTCTGGACTGCAAAGTTATGTTTAACACTGGGTCCAGAAACTCTGTATCTAAAGCTTTGAGCCTGGACTGTAAAATGAAGCTGCTCTCTTTTACGTCAGGAACTGGAGCTGGCTTCTCATGAGAGCAATGTCACCATTTTTCAGAGGTATATCGGAGTGTTTACATGCACATGCCAAGTTGCATGAGAAAATTCCAAACTATCTACCAGAATCTTTAATCAAAAAATACTTGCTCAAAACTTGACAGTCAAACCAGTGTCATCAGTGTAGATAAACGATATTGAAGCTATAGAGATCACTGGCCGGGTATTTCATTTTAAAGGCTGGTACCATAATGGCTTTTCCTGTTGTATGAAAAGCTGATGAAAACAACCAAAAAGGCATGCATCAAGACCACTTTGAAAGTTGGGATTGTATTAGTTTTTCTTTTCCTTGGTATTGGAGATCTGTCAGGCAAACAGTTCAGTGGTAGCTGGTAAAATAGCCTGGGTTTCTCAGGAGTTCTTAGCTAATCAGCCTTTGTGAGAAAACAACTGAATCTGAGTTGCCCAGATTGAGGTCAAACTTTGATCAAGCCTCACAGAGTCTGAGGATCATCTAACATGCCTTTAATCATGTTTGCATTAAAAAGAGTTCCAATTAAAAGTGAAAGTTTATGCAATTTAGGGGACAGTCTATGGCATATTTGTAGACCTGGCCTGGTTTGTTCATTGATAAGCAATGACTAGCCTAGTCTAGTCGTGGAGTTAATACATGAAATTTTTACATATCAAAAAAAAAATGAAGCTGCTCTTCTGTGTCAGAGTGACTTAGCTCCTCCAGGCAGAAGTGAGACATTTCATTCCTACTGATATAATTTCAAACAACAAAGTTTCTGAAGGTCTCTGACTTTAGACAACAGTTTCCCAGTAAGAAAGCAGTAGTCACTCAAATATGGGGAGTCCTCCCACTTTACATCTGCAGCATGTCCTTGAAATATTTTTTCCTTTAGCTCTTCCTCTAGGTTTTCCCGTGTCTGTTATTTCTGTCAAATAAATGAGAGATCAGGTTTTTCTTTTTTGATTTTTTGAGACAGGATCTCGAGATGTGGTTCAGGCCACCACTGAACTCACTCGGTATGTAGCCCAGCCTGGCCTTGAACTCACGGTGATTCTCCTGCCTCAGCCTTCCGAGCGCTGGAATTACAGGGGGCGCCACCGCGCCCGATTTAAGACGACAATTTTTTTAAAAAAACAATCTCAGTGAATTGACTTTCTCAAGTGTGAGGAAAAAGAAAGATTGATTCTAAGGGGCATTTAGCCTCAGCAACAGGAAAGATGACGTTAGCAATAGATTTTGGGGGAGACAAGATGAGCAAGCAGCTCAGTACCAGACGTTTAGAGTTCGAGAAGTCTCAAAATTCGTGGAGATGGAGAATGGGTAGTTACATTATAGACTAGACCAACTTCATTTCTCCCTAAACCTTCCTCTTGTGCTCCTTCCGTTCACTATCTGTAGGTATCGGGTACCCTTGCTATTTCAGATATTTGCACCTCTGCATGCAAGCCTTCGCGTACAAGCCTTACCACCTGACTTCCTAAAACCCTAAGGCTGGACCAGGAGCCCAGGCACAGCCGTTTTAATTCTTGGGCCCCGACCTCCCGAGCCCCGAGCCCCGACCCCTGCCCCCCGCTTGCGCTCACTTGTAGAAGCTCACAGGGCGGTTGTCGGAGCCCAGTCGGCCCGCAGTGTTGGAGCAGTTCGGAGCCCTGCAGTACTTAGGCATGGCTATCCAACCCTGTTGAGTTTCGTCCAGTCAGCGGCCGCTCTCGGGTCCTCGCCGCGCTCGGCCGAATCCCGCCCCGCCCGGCCGCCAGCCAGCTCTCCGCCTGCTTCACGTGACATTCTGTGTCTTCTCACGTGACGGGGAGCGCGGAGGGCGCCTGCGTAGTAGGTGCCACTCGTGTTTCCACAGCTACGCCCCCGTCACGTGGCGAGTACATCTGCACAAAGCCAGCTCTTCGTCACCCTAACCTTCATCACGTGTTGGGGGAAAGTGGCCTGAGAAAGAGCCTGCGCCATCCAAGTTCACTGATCTTTCAGTCTCTTTCGGCTACACCTTACGTCTACATCCAGGCGATTACCATGGCGCGCGTGGCACCAAAAAGCACAGCAAGGAGACTGTGGCCTTAGCCTCGTAAAGATTAAAACCTTGTATATTTCAGTCAAAAGGAAAACACTGGACAAGAAAGCTCAGGACACGTGATCAAGCGTCAACTAGACTAAGACCCCACCCTGCCTGACACTCCGCTCCGTCTCTGAGCTCCCATTGGTCAAGGGCGCCGCCCGGCACCTCCGCCATTGGCCAAATGAGCGGCCCGCGGCATCAAATGAGCGTTAGCGCCGGCGTTCCCGCGGCCATTCGCTATTGTAGTTGGTCTTGGCAGCTGCGGCAGTTAAGGAGCGTAACGGTCTAACAGTCGCGGGTCTCCGGAGCCACAATGGCGGCCTTAGGGTTCGGAAGCTACGTGCGGAACGATGCAGTCGAGAAGCTGCCATCTGTCATGGCGGGAGTTCCAGCGCGGAAAACCCAGTCCCCCCCGCCCTCCGCCCCACCACTCTGCCTCCGGCGGCGGACGCGACTCTGGGCGGCGCCGGAGGACACCGTGCAGAACCGGGTGAGAAGCGTCTCGCCCTGCCTGTCCCATTCCAAGCTTTACTGGTTCGTCCCTGGTCCCGCCCTCACATCTTTGGCCCTGCCTGGCAGCCCCCAGCTAGTACCTTCAGGTTTCTTTGGAGCCCCGCCCCGTCGCAGAGGCCCCCGCCCCTGGCTGGGCTCCTCCCATTTCCCCGCCTCCTCTTTCCTTGGGTACTGCTGCTCCACATTCCTGGCTCACCCTAAGCTTTGGAGCTTTCACTGGTTTCTAGCACTTGCCAAGCGTTTTGCTTCTGTAGCTATTCCCTAGTCCGTCTTCCGGGGTATATCTCAAGCTCCATCCAGTCGCCTTCAGGCGTTTTTCCGGTCCTTCCACTTTTGTTAACCTCGCTCCTGCTAAGTCTTCAGGTCCCTACCTACCTGCGTTCAGTCCGGAGTGTTACCTGCCCCAGATCTTCCTTGGTTCTCAACTGCCTTCTCTCATCTCCCTGCCTTCTCTTTCCTATACCTTCAATAAGGTGGTATTCTTATTCCATTTTGCCACTCAAAACTACGGAGAGGATATGACTACCTATAAAATCTCTGCAACGTTGCCTATATAGTACAGCTTCTCCGTAAAACGGAGGAATGCAGAAGGAAATTATTTTAGAATAGATATTACTACATTCGCACAACAAGAATTTTTAAAACTTATTTCTAACTCCCTAGGCACAAAGTCTATTTTTATAAAATGGAGGTAACAACCTTACCATGGTATTGAAGGGAGATGGAATTGCGACTGTGATCTTCTTGGCCGAGTCCGGATAAAGGGTGGATACATGGTAGCTGCTGCTGGATCTTATACCTGCTTGGTGGGTTTTTGCTGCTTCTGGTTATGTCGCCTGCTCCTGGCTGCAGAGCTCCGGGCAAGTGGCCCTTGCCCACCCCTTTGGCTGTTCCTCCCATGTCCTCGCTCTCACCAAGGTTCAGTCATACTGGCCTGCTATCTGTTTTCCTGAAGCTCCAAGTTCTTTTCTGGCTCCTAGCCTTTGTGTTTGGTGAGTCCTCTGCCTGGATTTTTTGCTCCAGTCTACCTGGTTGTCTTCCTTCCATCCCTCAGATCTCAGCCTGAATATTCCTACCCTGAGAGTCCTGCTTGAATCCCCGTCTAAAGCAGACACCCACCTAAATTTCTCCTCCAATTCCCTTTAGTTCATAGCCCTTATCTTATATTTTTCTGGAAATGCCTTGTGAGCTCTTAAACTGTGTATGTAGGAGAATAACAATAGAAATACAGAGGCACTGTGGTGAACTGGGTAAGAGTACAGCCTCTGGACTCAGGCTGCCTGAGCTTATATATTAATTCTGTCCCTAGCGGAGTTGTGAATTTTTATAGCAAGTTATGAAGTTTTTCTGTGCTTCAGTTTGCCCATCTGTAAAATGAGAATAATGATGTAGAATTCTCTCAGAGTATTTGCTGAGGATTATGTATTCACATATCTGAAGTATTTAGAATAATACCTAGCATATTGCAAGTACTCTATTAGTTTTAGCTAATACTGTTAGTATTATATGTTGAGTAATGTCATTAATTTTCTTTGGCAGCATAACAGAGACCATCTGGCTTGCAAAAGACCCAGTTTAAAAATGTCCAGCTATACTAATGTCCAGTAATACAGGTGGACACATAAAAACATAAATCCCATTGCTTGGCTGTCTGTGTTAGAATCCTGGCACTGCTGCTTCCTAGATGAGTAACCCTCTAGGCCTCTGTTTCCTCATCTGTGAGATGACAGTGATGATGGTGATGATGATGATGACTACAGTATATCTTAAGTTTATTATGAGCATTAAATAAGTGAATAGTTATAGGTATTGGAACAGTGCCTGGCTCCTGGTAAATGTTCAGTAAATGTTAGCTATTGTAGAAATGTTTGTCTTTTAAATCTGAGGCTAGTGACTTATTTGAGGAGGGGTCACTCTGTAATAATTAGAAACTAGTTTGTTTATTTATTTATTTTTGAAACTAGAAATGTGAAAGTACCACAGTTCTGTTAGGCCATACTTTATATAAATGGTTTAATCAACCATGATGGGGTCTGGCCCATTTGACTTTGTTTTGAGAGCTTAAATTTTTAAATGTGATAGTCCTTTTGTTTTTTGTTGACACCTCTAAAACATCCAACCTGTGAGTTTGACAAGGGAGACTATCTGCTTTTGCTCCCTGCTCTGTCTCCTGCAAGGCTCAAAGTGCTGGCTTTGAGCTAGACTGCCTGGGATTGTATCTCCCTTGGAGAACCTGGCCACTCTCTAGGTACTGCATCTTGGGCCTCAGTGTCCTGTCTATAAATAGTGCCTTCTTCCAAGCCTGCCTGGCAAGTGCAAAGTCCTGAGTGCAATTCCCGGTACTGGAAAAAAAATTTTGCCTTCTTCCCTGGGTTACTCTGAGGATTCAAGTCTTTCATCCATATAAAAGTACCCCAAAACTAGTTACCTTCTCACTTCAGCATTCCATCTTCTTGGCATTCCCAGTTTCTTTCCCTGCTTTATTTTTTCCTATTGCTTCTATCATCACATGACATCTAGTTTGCATATTTGATTTGTTCCTTTTCTGTATCTTCTATCCCATCACTACCAGAATGTGAGCTCTAGGAAGGCAGAGATTTTTGTCTGCACCCCCCCACCACCGCCCTCATTCTGTGGCCTGCACCTAGCACTGTGTATTTGCTGAAGGAATGTTGTGAGAGAAGCAAGTGTTAGCTGCTGGTGGATAGCTTAGCTGCTGAAGCTCAGTAAGTGTGTATTGAGTGCAGCAGGAACTACGTGGGAGCCAAGCCAGCTGTGCCATGTCGGGTCTGCTGGGCCAGATGCCTCTGACTTGGGCCTTTTCTTTTGCAGGTGTCACTTGAGAAGGTTCTTGGCATCACAGCCCAGAACAGCAGTGGCCTAACCTGTGACCCTGGCACAGGCCATGTGGCCTACCTGGCAGGGTAAGTACACAGGCGGGCCTCTGCATCTAATCACTGTGGAGGAATTTGGAGCTGAAGTCATTGTGAATCTCTGGGCCTCAGCTTTCCCATCTATATAGAATGTGGATAATGCTACCTATCTCCAGGGGTTATGGAGTGGATTCCTTAGGCCCATGTGTGTCTGCAGCAGCACCTAGCATGTAATGGGCACTATGAAAGCCTTAATCATGACTACAAGTAGGAGATGGCAGCAATTCTGGGAAATTCCATTAAAAACCAAAACTAGTGCTACCTTCTGCCTGGGTAGGGAAGGGGAGGACTAAAGGAGATCCAGAAGCTCTTTATTCCACAGATGAGGCTGGCACTGGTGTAGGTGTCAAAGGACCTCCCAGCAAGGGAGGGCAGACCCATAGTAATTCCAAATGAATGCTATCTGTTACTGAATTTTAGGAAAGCAATCCAGGATAGAAGACATGGGTGGGTTCTTAAATCCAACAAGGATGGATTCACATCCTTGGTCTGTTCCTGACATGCTGGGTGACCTGGGCAAAGAACTTGCCCTCTCTGGGCTTCAGTTTCCTTACCTACAAAATGGGTCTAAAGAGACCTGATTTCACTTGGCAGCTGTAAAGATTTAAAGACATTATGGAGCCAGGCATGGTGGTGCACACCAGTAATCCCAATACTCTAGTGGCTGAAGCAGGAGGATCGCCACAAGCTCAAGGCCAGCCTGAGCTACATAATGAGTTCAAGACCAGCCTGAACTACATAGCAAGATCCCGTCTCAAAAAAAACCAGAATAAATAAAATTTTAAAAAAGAAATACATTGTGAGCATAAGGTTTTTATTATCTTAAGCCAGTGATGGCAAACCTTTTAGAGCTTTTAATGATACAAACAGCCCACTGTGGCACATGTACCATAGGTTCACCACCACTGGCCTAGACCATAGGGCTCAACAGAATAGTTTCCACAAAAAAAGTGTTGGTCTCTATTTAAGAATATATTAATAAAGTTAAGTGCCCTAGAAATCTCAGCTTAAACGTTTGGAAGAGAAAGAGGAGACCAGAGAGAATCTTCTGTTGAGAGGAAGCTTTGTTGACGTGGGCTCTTCTGTTGGAATAGGATTATCCCTGAACCAACATGCTCCCCAGCTGAGGCACATTTTCCTCTTTCTCCCTAGCTGTGTGGTGGTCATTTTGAACCCCAAGGAGAACAAGCAGCAGCACATCTTGAATACTGCCAGGTAGGCTGGGGCCAGGCCATGAGGTAGGGAGGGGGGACCAGGGTCCTGGTACATCCCTCTTCCTCACAGAGCCTAAAGGTGCTCATGGGTAGGTGATCACTCATTCACTACTCCATCGGCTCAGCCACATTCACCT